TACCTTTTATTTTGTAATAAAAAGTTTAAATGCTCTAATGAAAATATGGCCCTTTTAATGAAAATTGTAGAAAGCATATTTTGACAAACAATAAATAATAATTCAAATATTTATTCTACTACAAACCTTTATAATCACTCAGGACAGAGAAACATTAAGCTAAAATTATTCTTTCATGGTAATGATAAAAAGCTTTTAATGTTATAAAAAGTTTATTTTGATAATTAACTTAGGAATCTGAATAATTTAAGTACACATTTACAAATTTTTTTAAATTTGAAAACAAATTAATCCTCAGGCATATAAATCTAAGTACCTTTCCCCAGTATGAACAGACTTAAAATGGCAATGTGTCTGCAAGGTAAGTATTTTAAATGTTTCAATGTTATTTACTGAATTAAGGCATGAAATCGCTCAAAGCCAAGCTCTTCGACAGCCAAGGCAGCTATAATAAAAGACACTTTTCAGCACCACACACGGCAAATAAATGACACAAGATACACACAGCAGGCTGTAAATACTTTCAAGCAATCAAAAATTTCCCTCTTTCCTTACTCCCTTAAAATCCTCAGTTTATTTTCAACTTTATTATAATATAAACTTTTATTTCAACATCTTAGTTACCATGATTATAACTAAAATGGATATAACACTGAGAATGTAGAAGAGTGATTAAATAATACACTTCTTTTCAATTCAGTTATGCTAGGGTTGCTTATAAACTATGAGAAATTTTTGGCAATCATAGTGCTTCACACATCATTGTAATGTGTCCTGCACTTTCATATAATCTTTCAATCATTGGAGCCAAGTAAAATCATTATACTTAATATTCTTCCTTATAAATCTTTAGGTTAAATGCTTAATTATTAAACAAATGTGTATAAAAAGGCATAGCACGTTGAAACTATACAGGTTCAACAGCAGCTTTAAGTTTGTTTCTGCATTAATTCATATAACTGTTGATAAGTTTTCAGTAACTTTAGATTATTTTTATTAATACAGTACTATTATAAATTTTAAACATCAAAGTAAATCAAAGAAAGCATTTAAATCAAAGTTAATGTGTATTTAGCAGTTTTCTAAGTGCCAGGCCCCTTTCCAAATGCTCTACAGGTCTCACCTCACTTAACCCTCATAACAACCCTATTCATCCTCATTTCACAGAAGAGGAAACTGGGACACAGAGAATCCTCTCAAGTACATACAGCGGTAAACAGCAAAGCCGAGATTAAAACCCTGAGAGTCTTGGCTCCACAAAGATAAAGCCTTTAATGATGAATCAAAATGCCTTCTCCAATTTATCACAATGAGCAATTTCATATGTGTTTTTATATATTTGTAAAGCCAATCTTAGTACTTTCATATAGTAATTCTCACTAGAGAAATTGATTCAGTAAGAAAGATTAATTTCTTTTGATTTACAATTTAAAAGGTCACAGCATGATAGCCTTTCAAAGTCTAAATTTTCAAATGTCTCAAGTTTACTTTTTAAAATCTTGAAAAATCCAGTGGCTTAAGTAATCTTTTCATTTGTGTGGGAAACAGACTGAAATTGAACCTGAGTACTCACTACTGCAAACAAGTGTGCAGTTACCAGAAGCCAAAACTATACACACCACACAAGCCAATGAAATTAATGTTTGTACAGAATGTAATACTGACAATGGGGAAAATACTTCACATTTAAAATTTCCAGATAAAATAAGAATTCTATCTAACCTTTTCCAAATTGTACTAATCTTTCTGTACATGATTATCTAAATAATTTTATTGGGCATACACTACAAAAGTTGACATAAAGATAGTAATTTACAGAAAGAAGGCAAGGAAAGTAAAAAGCCTGACAGGCAGGATGGTGAAATATATAAAACACAAGAAAAAGAACACAACTGGGATAGAGGAAAAAACAGGTAAAAAGATTGTTATCTGGAATCAAAATTTTAATGTAAGTTCATTTCATTTGTAAACATCTGAGCTAAATTCTCAAATTTTCAGTTAATAAAACTTTTCTAATTTATACAATTATTAAAAAAAAATTTAATCTGGTTTTATTCATGTCCAGTTTTGTAAATTGGAAAATTACTAAAATGTTTTTCTAGGCGGAATTCAATAGTTACTGAAGTACCAAAATTAATGTTTTGAAGCCATTTAACCTATCACTATGGAATGCACCACACAGTCCACAATATGTATGCAGTATGTTCTAAGATACTAAAAAAAAATGTAACAAAAATATCTTACTATTTCCTTACTTTTAATATAGAGACTGGTGTAAGCACTTAATCTTGAAAAGAAATTTTAATTAGTTCAACTATTCCTGCCAAAATTTTGATAACCTTAATGAAACTATTAAACATGCTTACATAAAACCCAGTAAAATCTGGAAAATATTTATCACATTTTTTTTACTATTATCCTTAATGACAGTTTTTACTATTATCCTTGTGAATATTTTCCACTCATTTCCTTTAACTGTCTTATCAACTCTAAAAATGTTAAATATTTTGAAAAGTTAGGCTTGAAAAGCCTGAGAAAGAAGCATCATTGAACTTTTAAATTTTTTAAATTCTTCCTTGCTAATATGCTAATATTAGAAATGGCCATTGTAACTGCAGAGGTAGGAGAGAAAATGCTGACATTACAGACACATTTTAGCTCAAGGAGGCAATGGTGCATCATAGACAGTTCTATAGGGAAAGCAAGATGTATATCACAAAAAATCAAAATTTACTTTCCAGATTTAGGTTGTCTAATTTCTTTAAAAAGAATTTCCAGAGATGATAGCTAATGGAATGCACTATAGGTAGAATAACTCGCTTATTCAATATAAGAACTTGGAACTACTGATTACCAAAAGTTACCTCCTAGAAAGATATTTCCTGAAAAGAATAACCAAACAGCAATTCTTTTTATCTAGCTTCTGTACCACCAGAAATTTCCATTTCACTAGTTCATTCTGGCAGTTTTTAGACTAATTACATAAGAATTTTTCAAAGGCTAAAGACCACAGAATATATGATTTTTATAATGAGAATAGCTGTTACTTAATTTCTTTTAAAGAGAAATCTTCGCCCTGGCTGTGGGGCTCGGTTGGAGTGTGTTCCCACGTACTGAAGGATTGCAGATTCATTTCCCAGTCAGGGCACATACCCAGACTGTGGGTTTGACCCCTGGTCTCTGGGAATGTATGGGAGGGAACCAATAGATGTATCTGTCTCACATCTATGTTTCTCTCTCTGTCTCTCCCTCTCCCTCTCTAACATCAATTTAAAAAAAGAGACAAATCGTCAAAGTCTGAAAAACTGAAATTAAAACTCATGATTAAAATTACTTTAACGTAATTCATATACAGTAACACTGTCCAGAAAGTTCAGGAGGAAAGGAAAGGACAAATAAT